AAGAGCAGCAAAAATAAATTGTTGTTCTATGCCGCCACATCAATGACTTAACCAACCAACCCGGCACCGCCAAGCCTCAAGTACGGTCAAATCACCACTCCCGTGAGCTGCAAGGCGTGGGTGGAGAGGCCCTCATCCAGCAGTGGATTTACAAAATGGCTATACATGTGGATAAAATCAAGTAATTTCAAGCAAGTTTGGTTGGTCAGTGCACTCGACTCGCAACCTCAAAACTTTTCATTTCAAATCCTAACCGAGAATCGGCTCAGCCCACCAGCACCAGCATCATATCTGTTCCTGGGTCGGTAAAATACGTACCATTTTGAGGTAACTCAACAGTCGTTTCTCTATGCACAAAATGCCCCCCCCCCTCTCTCCCCACGTTCCCCCCACCCGCCATAGGAATGCAGCATTTCTAGCACTGCCTTAGGGGCACCAACAGAGAGAGGAGCAGAGGACTTTGTTACTGCTCCGACGTTTCCACTGCACGACCGAGCCGTACCACGCCAGCAGGGCCCAGCTTCAAGGAGGCGCAGGGTTGTTTTTCCACTGCGTAAGCCGAGCCGTGCCGCCGACACACGCAACGAACTTGGGACTCGGACACGCGCGCAGGTGACGCGTGACGATGGGGGATCACGAGCACCCGGCCCCTGGCCCCTGCTTGGCGCCCCGAGCCAGATTCGGTTGCCTTGCGAGGCCAGCGGTGGAGCAGTTTGGTTGTGGCTCAGCTCGGCAAATAGCCGGACGAACAAAAAAGTCACCGGTAGCACGAGGGGCCCCACGCTGGCGCAGTGTGGATGTAACAATTGGAAGGGAGTCTCTCTCTCTAAGCCTTTTGAATGTGAGCTTTGCCCGCTTAACCTAATATAATAAACAGCAACATTGGCTCGTATGGAATAATATGGTGGTCAATGTCAGCTGTGAATAATAAAAATGAGGTTTGCTTAAGGTATTGAAAAACACATTAATACTTAATTTAACTTCTAAAAAAAAACGCTGCCAGTTGAGTAACGGCATGCGATGAACCTCGAGGAGGGTAAAGCGAGAAGACGCAGCTCAACGCGCAGGGAACTCGCTCACTCGCTCAGGCACACACCGACGCTGCGAGTTCCGGGTTTCCCAACGTGAACTTTCGTTCACGAGCAACGAGGAAGAACAATCGTGCGCGTGCATGGATTGCGCAACGTTCTGCGACACGCGTTTATCCTCGCAGGTTGGCGAGTCAGCGATGGCGATGACGAGGACGATTAACGGGAGCGCGCAAGGAAACACCACAAGCAACGTGAACCTGCGACAGCACTTTGCTGGGCGACCGCCGGTCGTGCACAAAATTACTTGCAGGCAGCTATGAGGGGCCACCTTGTGGGTAGCTGAGAGGGGAAAGTGCAGCGACATCCACTGTTGTACCGCGCGAAGCTCCAGCCGTCACCAACCCGCACACTGACCAGCGTGGTTAAGAGCACGTTCCAGCAAATAACACTCCGCATACCCAACATGGCGTTGGAAGAAAGTGTGCGAGGCCCTCATCCAGCAGTGGATCGACTTAAGACAGCTGTACATGCACTTGTGGTGACATCACTGCCGCCTGTGTAGCAGCAGTGGCTTTTAATCCATCGCTTGGAAAATATTTTTTTTTTCCCCCCCGTCAATAACGATCTTTAAACTCGAGAGGGGACAACCCGGGTACACTGGCCGAGGCGAGTGGCTGAACAAGAGGTGGCTGCGTGGCTGCCGTTCGGCGCGACGTCCGACCGGTCCGCGCCACGCGCCCCCGGGAGCTCGCTTCAGGAACAATGATTCCGAGACCTGACGAGCTGTCAGGGGGGAACGGTTCCCGAAGAAGCTCCCGGAAAGCACCGTGGAGTGAAACGGCGGGGGACGCGGTGCCGAACGGCGCGGTGCCGAACGAGGAGCGTTGGGAGTGCCGTGCGGTGGCACGACAGCAACACGCTGGGGAAATGGAAGCTCTCGGAACCCAGGATCCACCGTCGAGGTGGATGCCACAAAAAAGCCGTCGCTCGTTCTACCTTCGCGGTGAGCGCCAACGTCGTATTATTATTATTATTTTCATCACGAGCAACTGCCACTTCCTCCAAGAACAATCAACAAACACTACTGGGCTCCCCCCGACGTGGTCTTGGGGGGGGGGGGCGTGCCTAATCGCGCTGTCGCTCGGCGTGACGTCCGGACGGTTCGCCCCACGTGCCGGCACGTGGGGCGAACCGTCGAACATCGTGGCCGAGACAAAACTACACGCTAACGGCGCGGTCCGAGAACGCATCGGAGAGCCACGCGGCAGCACAATGGCGACAACACTTAGGCAGCGAAGCCCAAACGCTCCTCACTGGCCGCCTTCTCAACGTATCTAAACCCACCGTGCCGTGTAAATATTTGCCTTAGTTTGAGGGTGGATTATAAAACAAATCTTTAAAAAAAATTTCGTGTATGTCCGATCGATTTGAATGACAAACCCAGTGACCTGATGTATGATGAGGTGTGGATGAAGAGGGGCGATACAGACTTCATAGGCCTGCATGCTCATCTTTAAGCTTAATCATCATTTCGTTTCCTTTTCTCTCAATAGAAATCGTGCGAACCGATTGGCAGCTAAGCAAAGGAAGAAATCCGAGGGGAACGTCCACTGGGGAGATGGATGAAATAAGATCATGCTCGGTGGATTATCAAATCTCAGGATCGTGAGTGGTGGTGGTGGTGACAGCTCAGGGAGGCTTTCGTCCAGCAATGGATTGACCAGAGCTGACGATGATTACTGGACTTTAAACTAACGCATTTGATACTTTCACAAATACAGCTTCGTGAATGGTATATCATCGTGTTTTAGTATCATACACTTGGTAAACTAACCTTACTCTACTAGTGATTTTTAACGTTGGATTTTTATCAAATAATGTTCTTCCGCCGATGACGCGAGGAGAGTCGTGGTACTACGAAATGAAGAGATGCCCCCCCCCTGCTCCCCCCACACACAATCAGCTGATTCGCATTGTACCAGGGAACAGGCCCTGCAGATGACATCCCATGGGCAAAGAGGAGAAACTGGTACCACCCAAAGTAAACCATAAACTAAAGCAGTACCCCCATTTATAAGAGCGAATTACACAAAAACACCACCAATTTCCCAGTAGCTCTCACAAAATGCACTGTTGGAAACCGAAAAATTATACTAACCTCAGGTGGTAGTGACGAGTGGGATATCTCGCCGGGGGCTCAAGGGACTCAGACCCCCCTCCCCCCCTCCCAACACCGATAGCGGCGTTCTCGTTCCCATCCGGCCTCTCTTACACCAACGTTAGACGGTCGCTTGTTCACAATCCCTAACCGGTGGTTCCCCCCCGCCACGTATCGGCTATCCGATGTTCAATTTGTAAAGCCGGCGCTCGCAGCCGTTTGGTTCCACTGCAGTCCGAGCGTGCCGAGGCCGTCCACTCGCTACACTTGGCAGGGCACAGTTTTTGTTTAAATCGTCGCGGGAGATTTTAGTCCAGGTTTCCACAGCCTTGATTACAATCCAGTCATTCGCTCGGTCTCCATCCACCACAAAGGTCAAGCGCAAACCTTCACGCGGCTGGTGGTTCTCAGCCAATAACGAGGATCCATAATTGACTGCTGTGCTTTGGCCGGCCACACAAACGATCCGATTGAAATTTGTGTTAAGATCCCTTCACCACCAGACGGGGCCAATAAAAGACGGCTCGGTCAGATCGTTACGTGGCCTCGCCCAAGATATCAAATGAATCGCAAAACAACGTCCCGTCTGCCTTCGTGACCGGCGCACCCGCGTACATAAGAACTTGAGCGTGCGTGAGTGCTGCGCGAGCATTGCTTCCGCTGTCAATGGAAACCGGGTGGAAGGTGGGCGGGCGACTTGAGCAACCAAGTGGTTATGGAGTCACTCGCAGTCACAGCCGGACACGATAACAATACGGAGTCGCAAGCACGGGCAGCGGAAACCCGGACGCAAAAAAAACCCACCAACTCAGCAATGCTAGCAGAGTGCTGTGACAAAATCAGCCCTCCCTCCCTCCACCAAGGTGACAACTTCAACATCACTTCCTTGCTTCTCCCAGATCCCAGAGCTGACGCATAGTCGCCACCCGACATCCAAGTTCCGACACGGGCGTTTACGTGCAGGCCGGGGCCGGCAAGGCTGACCTCATATATCGGTGGCTGTATGTTAATAACGCTGCAACAGTCCGCGTCAAAACTTTTAAAATATAAACAGATCTCCCTGCTTGGTTACCAAGCGCGAATTCGCCGCTCCAAATCAACGGCACCGCGAGCCGTGCAACGCGCGCAACCGCTTCGACGGCATTGGCATCGGCGCCTCACGGTGGGCAGGAAGCGTGATGTGGGTTGCCCGTCGTGTTAAAGGCCTGGGGGTCAAAGTATCCCCCCCCCCGCCCGCCCCCACCTCTTCCCCCTCCGCCGCCCCCCGCCCAAGTGGGGGCATCGCTAATTGTAATCGACGCACAAGCAAAGGCTTGGGGGTGCCTGAACCGTTTGTGAGCTCAATCCAGATGATGGGCCCAGAGAAATTTTCAAGTTAACGCCAGCAAAGTGGAAAACGTGTGTGTGTGTGTAAAAGGGGTTGTGTGTGTCTGTCTGTCTGTGTGTGTTCGTGTGGTGCGTGACTAACATCAGTTGCCCCCAATAGTCTGAAAAGGCGACCCTTTGTTTGACTTTCGTGTGTGTGTGCGGGGTGCGTGCATGTGATGTGTATTATGTATGTGCAGGTGTTTGTACTTGAACGTGTTGTGTGGTGAATATAGTGAGCGTACATGTGCTTCTATTAAACTAAAAATCATATCTTTTTACTACCAGGCAAAGCTCAGAGCTATGTAGCTCTTTTTCAGAAGCGACCTGGCCACAAATGACAGCTCAACGAAGTGGCTTGTCGTGTGTAAATTTACAGCAGCCAAATACTCTCAACGCGTGATGTTGACTCTAAATGTGGAGGGAAAAACCAGCGGACCCGCAGAAAAATCCACGCGATCACGGGGAGAAAGACATGCAAACTCCAAATAGACAGCAGGCATTGTCAGGGTCAGGATAGGACCCACGACCTCCTGCATACTGGGCGAGGGAGATAACATCTTGTCACCATGGCTCCTGTATTAGTGTGCATGTAAATACATACGAGTTTAGATCTGCGTGTGTGTGTGCGTGTAAGATCGTATACACGAGTGTGTATACAAGCACATGCGTGTGCGCATACATTCATGTGTGCACGATTACGTCTGTGGGTGTTTGGACACGAGTGCGTGCGTGTGTACATGAGTGCGTGCGTGTGTACACGAGTGCGTGCGTGTGTACACGAGTGCGTGTGTGTGCGTGTGCACGTGCATACATGCGCGTACACGAGTGCATGCGTTTAACATGTGCTTACAAGTGTGCGTGCGTGTGTGTACGCGTGTGCATGCATCTGTCAGTCACGCCCAACTCCGCTGGCATTCATTTCGACAGCCAAACGAAAATATATATAACAAATAACGCTAAATTATTACCGCTTGATAATTGCGATCGTACAAAACAAATGCGAGAAAACCGTAGGGAAAAATCTCTTTCGGCCAATGCGTAACCCCCTTTCAGTTTTGGACATTTACATAAAAACAAAATAACTGCAAACTCCATCAGCGGCGGTCCAGTCAAGTCACAAGTTCCCATCAGAGTTTAGTATTTTTTTCACGTCGTGCAGCCGGGACAATGGCGATGACTCCTAACTGCGGTGGTGCCAATGAGTGACAAAACTCTCGCGATTACTCTGAGACAGCAGTGGCGGCGGCTTCCGAGGGAAAGGAGAATTCCAACGCTGGTGAAGCCCCGCTGTTGCGGTAATACCTAGCCCGCGGCCGGCAGTCCACAGCTCCTGCTGACGAATCCCATCAACGGTGATGCTTCCTAAGCGATGACTGCAAACAGGGGTTCAGGATCGGCAACAAATCCTTCCAAGAGATGTCAAAGGCTCCCAAACACTGACGACAGTGGTCCCGGACAAGCGATGACTCCCAATGATGGCGAACCCCAGCGTTGCTGCCGTCTTCCTCGAGCAGCGGGGGTTGGCGGCTCCAACTCGCGGCAACGTGCTCCAACCCGCAGCCGACGACTCCCAATTGTAACGAGGACTCCTCTTCCGAGCACGTGGCGATGACTGGGTGAGAGTGGGCGAGCAAGAGCCTGTACAGTCTCCCGCTGGACAGTTGTCTAACTAGCCCAGGTCGCCCACTCGCCCCGGTTTCCCATTCACTTGGGTGTCCCCGGCGAGTCAGTCGCCCCACTCTCTTGCCCACCTGCTCGCCACAGTGGCCCACTCAACCCGGTCACCTGAACACCAACCACAGCCCGTTCACGCACTAGCCCGCTCGCCCACTCATCCACCGTTTGGTTAATCGGTGGCTTGATGGAGAACTAGCTTGGTCTCCCCACTCACTCAATCGCCTGATCGCCCCATTGCATTGTTCCCCACTTCACCCGGTCACCCATGAGCTGGGTCGCCAACTAGCCTGGTCATTCCCAAGCCTGGTCCACCCAACTTGGCCAGGTCACCCACTTAGTCTAGTCACACCGGGTATAGATTGCTCATATCTGCACCACGTCCTCCAGCACTCGGTAGCAGATGAGGAAGTACGGGTAGCACTGGTCGTTGTCGAAGACGACGTAGATTTGTGGGTCGGCCAGGTTGTCTACGCAGGAGTCGAACAGGTCCGAGGTCAGGTCGCACGGGTTGATTGGAGGCGGCCTGAAGGTCGCGGGGTCAAGGATCGCAAAGGTTAGGGGTTAAAGTCAGACATTAATACAAGTCGGATAGACAACAAAAACGCAGTCAGACAACCAGATATGCAGACAATCATAAGTACAAATGCAAACAATATGGAGACACACAGATAAACAGACACACAAGTACATAAACCAGCACACAACCAGATACAACACGACATGTCTATGGCACATAGACACCATTGTATGAACATACACACACGCAGTGACACCGCAACAGTAACACACACCCATACGCACAGATCCACCCATCCACACTGTGACACACAGCACCACAGTGACACAAAAATACAAAGATCCTACGTATAGCCTTTAACAGACTATTGGGGCAAGTGCTCTTCGTGGGCACCTATGAAGGCCGGTATGGCACACGAGGGAGTAGGTGGTCAGCACCACGCCCGGCCGCCTTTGTCTCCCCAGTGGTGATGTTTACACACCATGCCGGGAACTAATTTTATGCTGTGTCAACCTAGGGGATGCCCAGAACCGGTTCAAATAATCGTCACTGGTGTTGGCCCCGAGCGGGAATCGAACCCAGGATGCCGGGTTTAGCGCTGCAGCACGCCAACCGCTACACTACTGCTCCCCAAACAGTGACACACACACACACACACCAACCAACACAACCCACGCAGTGACACACATAACCACGTACCAACAGAGCCAGACACAGTGAAACAACCACCCACCCACACAATGACACCCAACCCACCCAACCCACCCAAATCACCCAACCACCCACCAATCCGCCCACCCACCAATCCACAAATCAACCCACCCACCAACCCACCCACAAACCAACCAAGCAGCCCTCCAACCCACCTACCCGTCAACCGGCTCTCACCTGCGAAGCGTTGGCCTGCCTTGCGCGTGCCTGCCCACCAGCACCTTGGAGAGAAACATCCAGCGGAGGCCGCGCTCCCCCGAGGGCCGTGCGTAGCCGTGCGAGTAGACAGCGCGGCGCGCGAAGTAGCAGCCCTGCCCGTAGGCCGTGGCGTGCTTCCCCGACACGCGAGGGTCAAAGTTGTGCTTGCAGATGGCGGCGCTCGCCTCGGCCGACGTGCCGTGGAACAGGTGGCGCTCGGTGGTGCGGCACAGCGGCTCCGGCAGCCGGCGGCACATGTGCTCTTTCTTCCTGGTGGCGCCAAGACAGTTGACAGGCGAGGGGGGCGAGAAAGAGAAACGGAGAGTTGTAGACGAGTGGTTATATCACTGCCCGTGGGTTTGGATGTGGCTTTGGTCAAAGCGCTCGATCTCGCAATCACGGTCAACCCAGAGGCATCAAGAGACAGAGAGAGAGAGAAAGAGATAGACTTAAAGAGATACAAGAGAGAGGTGTGAGACACAAGATAGAGGTGGTGTGAGAGACAGTCGGGAGTGGTTGACCGAGTGGTTGGTTGTATGAGTGGACGTGTCAGCGGTTGGTTGAATGAGCGGACATGTGAGCGGTTGGTTGTATGAGTGGATGTGTGAGCGGTTGGTTGTATGAGTGGATTTGTGAGCGGTTGGTTGTATGAGTGGACGTGTCAGCGGTTGGTTGTATGAGTGGACGTGTCAGCGGTTGGTTGTATGAGTGGACGTGTCAGCGGTTGGTTGTACGAGTGGACGTGTCAGCGGTTGGTTGTACGAGTGGACGTGTCAGCGGTTGGTTGTATGAGTGGACGTGTCAGCGGTTGGTTGTATGAGTGGACGTGTCAGCGGTTGGTTGTACGAGTGGACGTGTCAGCGGTTGGTTGTATGAGTGGACGTGTCAGCGGTTGGTTGTATGAGTGGACGTGTCAGCGGTTGGTTGTATGAGTGGACGTGTCAGCGGTTGGTTGTATGAGTGGACGTGTCAGCGGTTGGTTGTACGAGTGGACGTATCAGCGGTTGGTTGAATGAGTGGACGTGTCAGCGGTTGGTTGTACGAGTGGACGTGTCAGCGGTTGGTTGTACGAGTGGACGTGTCAGCAGTTGGTTGTACGAGTGGACGTGTCAGCGGTTGGTTGTACGAGTGGACGTGTCAGCGGTTGGTTGTACGAGTGGACGTGTCAGCGGTTGGTTGTACGAGTGGACGTGTCAGCGGTTGGTTGTACGAGTGGATTTGTGAGCGGTTGACCGAGTGAACTCTCTCTGTCTCACTATCTTCCTCCGTGTGTCACGGGGCCCCCTCACCTGCAGTACTTCTCCCAGAGGAAGGGGTTCTGTACGCGGTGGATGGACACGATGGATGCCTTCGTCTCGGGCACCGTCTTGTGGAAGAGCGAGTAGACGGTACGGAAGGCACGCTCGCTCGCCGACATCTCCACCTGCACAAAGTCGGCGCTCGGCTCCATTGGCACCCACGTGGCCGGCAGCAGCGGCGCCGATGACGAAGACGACAACGAGGAGGATGAGGAGGACACGGAGGAGGATTGCGACGGCGTCACCAGCATGGGGTTCGCCAACTCTGCCGGGTCGGCCAATGTCCTGCGGAGGAGCGGAAGGGTCGAAAGGGTGGCACAGCACGGTCGGTTACGACATCTCTCCGCTCTGCTGTCTCCCATGCTGGGGTCGGCTCATAAGTCGGGGTTTGCAGGTTCGAGTCCCCGTTAAGGGTGCGACAGCACGATTAAAACCGCGGTGCCTACAGGGTGAGTTACCATCTTTGTGGTAAAGTCAAAAGTGGTTAAATTTAGATTTAAAACTTTTGTGACTTGCAGGAATTTAAACTTTGGTGACTGCAGGAATTTAAATTCTTGGTTCTGTCGGTAAAGTCACGTAGACAGAAAACTTTGCAAGCCGACTGGCTATCAACAAAGATTCGTTCACGAAGCCATCCATATATACAGACACAAAAACAATTTCAACCGAGACGATGGTTTTAAACTCAGCAATCAATGGAAAGATGTCATCAACCGCTTTGGGTCATGATTTTAATTTGTGTTTCCTTGTCAACCTCTACCGTCAGCAGGCCCTCTTGCAGCAGGTGTATCACCATTCCTCCCACCCCCCCATTGTCTGATGGGTGTACTGCAATCCCTCCCTCCTCCTATCTCTACCCCTCTCTCTTCCTCCCTATCTCTGCCCCACCCCCTCTCTCTCCCCCTGTCTCTCGCGCAGCCCTTTCCCCTGCCCACTCACTCTGGAGCCCTTATAAGCAGCTACATGCGGAGGTTTTCCCTCTTTTCTTTCCACCTGAAGAAGACCGCTTGTGTTGCGATCGAAACGTCGTGGGTTTTTTGCTTTTAATTTAGATTTTTGTTTTCTACCTACGTGACGTCACCGAAAGAACCAAGAATATCAAAAGTGGTTGTCTACAATAATTATGACTTGCCCCTACCATAAGAATGTGGAAATTCCCCTACTGGCTCAGGGCTGAAAAGTGGGGATGAGCAGTCGTATTCAATACTACCGTATTTTCCCGACATAGCCCGCATACGCATATAACCCGCAGACGCATATACCCCGCAAAAATAGCGTTTTGTGTAAAACAAATTTCAGATAGCCAGCACCTCCATATACCCCCAAATGCATTCATATCTTTAACGTCGTTACCGCAGCTTAATTCCATCATATTAATACGAAGTTTACTTTTGTAATACATTCCACTATCAATTGTTAACATTAAAATCATAACCTGCACAAAGAAAACAAACTAACTGGAAAACAGTGAACTTAAAACAGTAAATAAGTAACAAAAGTAAATATCCAATAAATAAGTAACACATAACTGGTAGATAAGTAAGTAAGCTTTGTTTCAAACTTCCAATGGCTTTGTTGCCAGGAGGCAATGGCGTTACCGAGTGCCGCTACTGGACCGGTAGTTACCCCTGTACAGTTTTAGCACTGGTAGATTGCGCACTGCGCAGACAATAGCGGCACTACGGTAACGCCATTGCCTCCTGGCAACAAAGCCATTGGAAGTTTGAAACAAAGCTCATGGTCGCGACTGTATAGTGCTCAGCCAATAGCAGCGGCCTAACGGACTCAGCAATTGATTCCGCGTTTGGTAGACGCTTGTTAAGGCCCTTCCCATTGTGCAAATCCGTAGCCTCAGCTGAAACTTTCGCACCCCCCTACAGCCACTGAAAGTATTACGGTTAACAAAGTGCGCCCACTTCAAACATTGTCGATTCATTGTACAAACAATTTTAATAATTTAAAACGTGATAAAATTTGCAATTTTAGTGCGAGTGGTTTATTCAACAATGCGTTAGTCAAAGGTAAGTGTTGCATAGTGGATAGTCCTACCATGAAAAAATTAAACGAGTTATGACATGTCACACGTGTAAAATATTTTTTGGATAGCCCGCACCTCCATATACCGCGCAGGGTCTTGTTTTGTTTGTAAAAAGTGGTATACCCCGCGGGTTATATGCGGTAAAATACGGTAATTAGAGCAGGAAATAGTTATAATGAGTATACTCCGATTAGCACGGTTGACTACAAGTTCAACGTACAAATATACATAGGTTCGATATTTGTCTATTGGTCTACGTGTAAATCAATGGGACACTATGCTAGTCTGTATGTATCAGTGGCATAGTCATTCGCATGGGCCTTGGTGCAAGGGATGTAGCGCAGTGCCTGGGCCCCTTCGGTGTAGTTGCATCACCTGCACACTCGAGAGCTACCCCATGGCATGTCTGTGTGCACAACACGTGTGTGTGTGTGTGTACCGGATCTGGCCACATTCCCATCAGTGAGTTCCTCTGACAGGCAAGGCTGCGTTGGCTGAGTTATGTAGCCCGCATTCCCAGCCACTGCATGCCCAAGCAGCTTCTGTTTGGCCGCATAGAGGGGCCTAAACGGGCACGATATGGGTTGGAGAAGAGATGGAGCTGATGCGGTACAAGAGGATGTGGAGCTGACTGGCCTTTCCGACTCGTATCAAAGGTGTCAAGATCGGCCTCTATCGAGGAGGCTTGTGAAGAACGCTACTGGGCAGTTGGAGGCAGTCCCCCTCCAGCAACAACAGAGGGTAGAGGAGCAATGCTCACAAGAAAAAGCGGAGCGCCGGGCGGCTAAAATGCAGAAGGTTGACACAGTAGGGGGTACAGGTGGTGTATCTACCAGTCATCTCAGTCAGCCAACCCATGTTATCTGGGTCTGTCCTGAGACCTCCTGTCAGCGAGCCTTCGACACTTCACGTGGCCTCAAAGTACACCTGACCTGGCTGAGACCTCCTGTCAGCGAGCCTTCGACACTTCACGTGGCCTCAAAGTACACCTGACCTGGCAGAGGCGCCGTGGTGACGTCACCGTCACTGAGTAGCGAATGGCGGGTATTGGTATAGGTGTGTGTGTACGTGTGTGTTCAAAATGTGGGGAGTGGTAATGTAGCAGTTAGCACACTGCGCAATGAACCTGCCGACCAGCGTTTGATTCCTGCTCCCAGCCAACATCCGTGGCGAATACCTGAACCAGTGCCGGGCTACCCTAGGTCAACTCGGCGAGTACCTGGTGTGGTGAGTAATGGCACCGGGAAGACAGCCAGGCAGTGGTGCCAGCCGCACCACTGCCTCGTGCGCCGTTATCGGCCTCCACAGGCGCTCGCTAGCAATTGCACACTCGTCCCAACAATCTGCTAAAGGCTACACGGGAGGTGGGGAATCTTTAACCACGGTGGGGGAATCGTTCACCTGAGCAGAGGCAGCAGCAGCACGGGCGAGCGGTAGAGCGGGCGCCGCGCCACACGTTGCTGCGTCCCCAAGGCCAGGTCGTGCTGCACGGAGCTCGCCAGGTCCACGACCACCCCGCCACCACCACCGCCAGCACCAAGAGCCGCACCAGCAACCGCACCAGCACCGCTCTGCTCGCGCCGGGCGGGTACCACCACCTCCCGCTGCCCCGCACGCCAAGCTGCCTCCAACTGCAGAGCCAGTGGCTATCGGGGGGGGGGGGGGGGGGGGTCATGGGAGGGGGTCATAGGGTCACGGTCACGGGGTGCGGGAGGCAACAAGGGCAATGAGAATGAGATGGGTGAGTGAACGAGTGGGTAGATAAGTGAATGAATGAATGGGTGAGTGAGCGAGTGGTCGGGTAGATAAGCGAAGAAGCAAACGGAGGCAGAGAAGATAGGAGGCGGCAGAAATAGGCAGGAGAAGACAGCAGAAGCAGGAGGTTGCAGGGGCCAACAGGGGCAAGCAGGGACCAGCAGGGGACCAGCAGCGCCCAGCAGGGGACCAGCAGCGCCCAGCAGGGGACAGGAAGGGCAGTGCCCACCTCATCGTACTCCTTCCAGCACAGCTGGTCCTTCCAGTAGATCTTCCACAGGGTATAGAACTCGGGGTTCGCGCCTCCGGGCTCAGACACGGACAGGCGGCGCAGACGGTCGTACCCGGAGTCGCGCACCAGCATCGTGTGCAGGTCCACCACCATGCGGCGCAGCCTGCACACCATGGGGGGAGGTCAGTGGGTCAGTAAACAGATATGTGAATGGGTGAAAGAATAGCAGTGTGGTTGGGTGAGTAAATGAGTGAGTGAATGGGTCGGTGCATGCGTGGGTGAATTCCAGTGTGGATGTGTGAGTGGGCGGGTGAATGGGCGAGTGGATTCAAGTGTGGGGTGACTGAATGGGTGACCCAATTCCAGTGTGGATGAGTGAATGGGTGGGTGAATGGGGTGGGGTGAAAGGTTGAGTGAATGGCAGGGTAAATGGGCAAGTGGACGTGAGTGATGATCTTGCGGGTGGGTGGGTGATTACGTAGCCGACTCAAGACCAAAGTTGCCGCATAAAGGTACCGAAGTCAGGTGGGGCTATTGAGACCAAGGGCAGCCCTTACAAGGGGAGGACATAAAACCATTGTGAGGTCACGGCTCGGCTCTGGACTGGCTCTGGACTGGCTCTGGACTGGCTCTGGACTGGCTCTGGACTGGCTCTGGTCTGGCTCTGGACTGGCTCTGGACTGGCTCTGGACTGGCTCTGGACTGGCTCTGGACTGGCTCTGGCTGGGGTGAGCCGGCTTCGAGCCACCACGCTTCACTTAAGCCGGCTCCTGAGCACGCTCCGGGCCATGCTCAGGATTCCCACAAGCCGAAGCCCCAAGCAACAACTGAGCCGCTCATTCGTGCGATCTTTGGGAAACCATCGAGCGGTTCGGGCCAGAGCTGAGCCCGAGTGTTAAAAGGCTGAGTCAGAGCTGAGCGCCCAAGCCACGACTGAGTGGGTCACTCAAAGCGGACTTTGGAAGTCGCCAAGCGGCTTGGGCCAGAACAGAGCCTCGAATAACAACCACGAGAGAGTAGTCCTGGGAGGCCGGGGCATCTGCAGCTTGACGGCACTGCAAGAAACCTGGCAGCAGGAAAAGAAGCGACGGGAGATGCACGGTGACGTAAACCACACGACCGCATCGCCGTCGGTTTTTTCCCCCCCAAGGTCTTGACAAAAACGCCAACAAAAAAAACGCCAACAAAAATGTGCCAAAAAAGTGCTGCGCGTTTACAAAACAAATCCCCCAGGGGAGGGGGGTTTACAACAGAAAGACAAAGACGCCTCTGGCTCATAACCCATTGCACAACACCCAAAAACCCCACCACCCCCCCCCTCCCCCAGGTCAAAACCTGCAAACCGAGTTGCGAACTCGTGTTATGACGCATTGATTGTGGGTGGCCTTCAACCTGCCACTCGCTGCATTCCCACGGCGTGCCGCCGCCGCAGTTGCCAAACGAGGAGTTGCAACTTTACATACAAACACGTGGCGGGAGGGGCGGTATGGGGGACAAACGCGGCGCCCAGCACGGCGTGAGGTTTCATTACCAATTGAAATAATTTGAAGTTGCGGCCTCGTGACTCGTCAGGTGACTCACTGCACTGCTCTGCAGAGATGTCAGGGTCCACCCAAGGTGAAATCGCAGCCTCAAAACAAACCTAAAACCTGGCCAGGAGCCCACAGCTGCAATGACTAAACTGCACTTTTAAACTATTTGTTGTTTTACAAGGTAAGGCCCACTGAGCTATATATCTCTTTCAGAAGCGACCGGGCCACAAATGTTAAGCTCAACAAAGTGGCTGATTACGTTTGACTTTTATTGCAGCCAAATTAATCTAAACGCCCCTCCACGATTCTAAATGTGGATGGGAAAAAAAACCACGCCCAATATTCAAGAGGCGTCAGGGTTGGGATTGAACCCACAACCTCCTACATAGCAGGCGAATGAGTTAACATCTCACCACCGTAGCACCCCTAAATGACTCCAGTCTGAATGAGGTTACAGCCTCAACACTGACCAAGTCTGGACACTGACCCACACCCTCGACACTGACCTACACCCTCGACAAGGACCCAGTCTAAACACTTACCCAGTCTAGACACTGACCCAGTCTAGACACTGACCCAGTCTAGACACCGACACACAGCCTCAATATGAACCCACAGCCTCATTACTGACCCACAGCCTCGACACTGACCAAGTCTAGACAGAACCAGAGCCTCGACACGAACCAAGTCTAAACACCGACCCACCGACCCACAGCCTCGACAATGACCCAGTCTAGATACTGACCCACAGCCTCGACACTGACCCAGTCTAGAAACTGACCCACAGCCTCGATAATGACCCAGTCTAGACACTGACCTACAGCCTCGACACGAACCCAGTCTAGAAACTGACCCACAGCCACAACATGAACCCACAGCCTCAACCCGCACCGGGCTACGATATGGCAGCTGCTCCACAATCGTCTATGGAACACGGTGCATGGAAGGGGGACTTGTTAAGGCCAGTATTAATAGCCCCACTTCGAAGCCGGATTTGAGAGGTGACTGCAGTTATTTTTTATTCTTTTAAACGCACAAGCAGATTATGGCCGTCAGATTTGCCTGACTCGGCACCGGTTTGATGATGGTAACAACAGGAAACAGCTGTGCTTGGGGCTCTCGCTGAACATTGCCGTAATTTTACATTTCATGGGAGGGACAAAAATAATTTCCCAGTGGGGGCTTATTTGGCTGCCGGGTGGGACTACGCATGTCCCCTTGTGAGGTGACGCACTGCTAAGTCACAACATTCGTAACTCAAGCACCTGTAATTTAAGACTCGTTTTCAAATGTCTTCACCCCATTCCAAGGAGTTAATGCTAAATTTGGCACTTATTTTGTCCCCCTCTTAATCCATACAATGCCACCTCACTCTACCCAAGCAGGGTTGAGCCCGGACCGCGCCTGGATGGGCGACCGACCGTACACAAGAGCAGGTGCCGCTATATGCGGCTTGCGGGGGCCAAGTTGTGGGCACCAGAGGGGCCCAGCAGTGCAACAAAAACCATTATTGTACTGTACCATGCGGTACCGTCTACGCTCCACCCCTTCGCCAACCTGCCCTGGGCGACTGGCGTAGTGAAGTATTGCACGGGAAGGCTCTCATCCAGCAGTGGATTGACAAAGGGAAGTGACAAATAAATCTTACTCCTGAGTGTCCACTGCGCGATTGTAAATACAACCGTTTGAGAAACTAATAATGTGCATGCATGTGTAGTGCTTCAATAAAGACATACACACTACGTGAGTTGAGGCGAGTCTTTTATTAACACTTCCCTTACGGGACGGGTCGTATAATTGGTGTAAACGTAACTACCCCTGTGTGACACTGTGTGACACAGTGTGACACAGTGTGACACAGTGTCACATTATGTAACACAGTGTGACACAGTGTGACACTGTGTGACACAGTGTGACACTGTGTGACACTGTGTGACACTGTGTGACACAGTGTGACACTATGTGACATAGTGTCACACTGTGTGACACAGTGTGACACAGTGTAACACAGTGTCACAGTGTGACACAGTGTGACACTATGTGACAGTGTCACACTGTGTGTGTGACACTGTGACACAGTGTGACACTGTGTGACACTATGTAACACAGTGTCACACTGTGTTACATTGAAGACCCCAACCCGACGACGTGACCCGACCCACAGAGTGTTACCCACAATGACGACCCTTGACCGTATCCACGCTGCCCCTAATTACCAGAATTACGGGCTATACCGGAGTTTTACTAAGCTCGCTCCCCTAATTACCCAAATGACGGGATGTACCGGCATTACACATGCATTAATATTGAATGTTTAATAAATTCCATATTTGTCATTGCAACAATAAAGATCACAATTAATCATAATATTGCAACATTTGTGCGGTGGGGGGCGGGGAGAGATTGCAGGGGATGGAGGCCCGGGACTGGTTCAGATTTCACTCGCGGCTGACGACGTTAGCCGCGACCGGGAATTGAACCCAGGTCGCAGAGTTTGCGGCGTGGCACGGCAATGGCTGCGCTGCGGAAGTGATTAGCGGCACTGCGCTAGGCACTTTGGCAACGGTGGTTTTGTGGAATGCTTCATTTGCTCGGTGAAAAGTTCGCCATTCCGCCACAGTGCTCGCACACAACAATAAATCAAATCTGCGCACGAGGAGAAAACCCCCATCACAACGGAGCACAAAAGCACAGGCTGGGAAACGAGACGCGCAAACGTGTACAACCGGTTCAAAGGTTTGTCTACCGCTGCGTCACTGCTGTTGTCAGTAGGTCACATTTCCTCAAATGTGTTGTAATGGTGACCTCAGACAAGAGGACCACAATGCATTTCTTCAGGAACTGCCGAAGGTTTTGGTTGCATAACGCACAAAGGGCCGAGGGCTTTTTACACACTTTTTGCATCTTGCTTAAAATATTATTCATGCCCAGATCATCCTCCCCTGAGATATTGGCTCCTCGGGCCTCTCAATGAGCACTCGGTTTGCTATAAACAACAGGAATCAACTTATCTGAACGAACAAAACAACAAAAATGTCATTCATTTATCCAGGAAGACCGCTCTTCCCTCATGCCACAGAGTCTCAAGACAGCAGGATGATACCATAGACGCCTGGCCAAAAAAATAATACACATGCTCACTATACAGGCATTTTTGTCATACAGAACCTACTTGCTGCTGTATTGCCTTCGATTCAAAAAAACTTTTGCCGCCATCTCATGCACAAGATGATCTCCATCCTATCGCAATCCACCAACCCCGGTTTTTCCCAGGAGGGTCCCCACTAGAATGACTAAACTAAGCTAAAACAATTTATTATTTTACCAGGTAAGGTCCACTGAGCTGTGTAGCTCTTTTTGAGAAGTGACCTGGCTATCACAAATGACTGCTCGTCAAAGTGGCTAGTAGACGCATGTAGGGAAAAACAGGACCCAGAGAAAAATCCACTACAACCACGGGGAGAACATGCCTCCCACACCCCCCCCCCCCCAAATCCCCGTGGCCCCTCCACCAACCAGAGAGCTCACATGTCCACACCTCTAGTCGACATGGTGTGAGGCATTTGTGTTCATGTTATGAGTTAGTGCGTGTTCCTATGGCGTGTGTAGCACGTTATGCATGGGGCATAATGTGCAAAGCATTTGCTTAAAGCCTTGCAAAGCATTTGCTTAAAGCCTTGCAAAGCATTTGCTTAAAGCCTTGCGTGAACTGAAGGAACATTCTAATCTGAACCTCACGTTCATTTTCGGAGCACAACACGCACACACGTAGAGGTGCATGTCACATTGCGCGGGTCTAATGAGGCTTAGTCAAAACAGATAAGACAACCAGGTCCTCCGTGAACCCGCTGAAGATGAGCTTGGACCAGTGGATGTCCCTCCGTGCTGATAGTGGGGAAGGCAGCCGGATGTAGAACAGAGGTTACCAGTGGAATGACACACACCTATCCCTCATCACCACTACCACTTGTATCATCACCACCACAACAACTCGCCTTCATGACTTTCACTACCACTATCAACAACAACCGCTATTCGCCACCAAGTGGCGGTGACGTCACCACGACGCTTGTGCCAGGCTATGTGCACGTTGAGGCCAGGAGGTCACGGGGCAGACCCAGGAGGTCACGGGGCAGACCCAGGTGCCACGGGTCGACTGACTGAGACGACTGGCTGATGCACCACCTGTGCCCCCTACGGTGCCAACTTACTGTGCTTTAGCCACCCGGCGCTCCGCTCGTTGTGCGCGTCGCTCCTCTGCCCTCCGTTGTTGTTGGAGGGCGACTGCCTCAAACTGCCCAGTAGCGTCCTTCATGAGCCTCCACCACAGAGGCCGATCTTGATACCACTGGTACCAGTCATCGGCAAGTCCACTCAGCTCCACATCCTCCTGTACCACATCACTCTATCTCTTCTCTAGCCTGTGCCACGCTCGTTTAGCCCTCTCTATCCGGCCAAACAAAAGCTGTTTAGGCATACGGTGACTGGGCATGAGGGCTATATGACCCAACCAACGCAGCCTTGCCTGCCGGGGACTTTGCCCAGATCTTTCAAAGATTGGTGAGCTCCTCACACAATCCAGCGTTACGCAACCAATGAAAAGATAATGCCGCTCGACTGATTCGGAGTGAGAGCTCTGCTGTCAAACCAGAACCGGTCATGAGCAGACTGCCCAGGTATGGGAAACTCTCCACTCTCTCCACAACTGCCCCGTCACCAATTGGGAGTTGTGGGGGTGGAGTGTCCGATGGTACAAAAAACCCAAGCAGGTGCTTATCTGTACCAGATGGAAATTCCTCCGGTACAGCCATCGAAGGCTTCACGAACTACGTGGTCGAAAAAGATGTTAAATAATGTGGGAGCCAGAGTACATCCCTGTCGCACTCCAAGGTGAACAGGGAATGGCTCCGACTGCCAGCCACGCAGTTTTACCCGGGCCCGCTCATCATCATGAAGGTCCTTAATGATCATGAGCAGAGGGTCAAGAATAACCCAGAGCCCAGGTCAATAAAGCAGAGATGTAGGTTTTGTTGGAATTCCCTTCACATTTTGCTGTAGCAGACGGACAGAAAATATGGCACCTGTGCAGGACCGCCCTTTCCTGAAACCGCACTGGGGCTCCGTAAGCCTCTCCTCAGCGTGCCTGGCAAGGCGATGTTGAATAATCCTTGCCAGGACCTTTCCCGGAACACTGAGGAGTGAGATGCCCCTGTAGTTGTTACAGTCTGTGCGGTCCCCCTTCTTAAAGAGGGGACCACCAGGGCATCCTTCCAATCCTGCGGAACCCGTCCAGTGGTCCAGACTGTTGTTATGATATCAAGTAGGGCAGTCTGTGCACAAATGCCACCCTCCCTCAGCATTTCGTTTGGGAGATCATCTCTGCCCGGTGCCTTTCCTGGTCTCAGACTCTGAATCGCCATTAGTACTTCCTCAACAGATGGGACCTCAGCCAGCCACTCACAGGGGGTGACTTCTTCCAATATTTGAGACACCGCAGCCTCAGCAGGGTCATCCCCACTTTTTCCCACGATGTTTTCCATGGCAAGGGATTTCCCCTCCTCCAGGACTTCACAGAAATGCTCAGCAAATCTGCAAACCTGTTCCTGGGGGTCGGAGATTGGATCACCGTTTTTATCCCTAATGATGGTAATAGGTGTGGCGCTGCAGGTTACTTTTTTTATGGAGTTAAATAGCGATTTGTGATCGCGGGCCATTGAGGCAGACTCCATCTCCTCAGCAACCCGCGACCACCACTCATCCTTGCAGCGCCTCACGGCTCTCCGAGCCTCCGAGCGAAGGCTCCGGTAAGCCTCCTCATTCTCTGACGTAGGATGCTGTCGATGATGAGAGTGGGCCTGTCGCTTTTTCTCAGCCAGCCTGAACACCTCCTCTGTCAGCCAGGGTCTCTGGGGAGGTCTGGCCCGTGTTATCAAAGCAGTCATTGCAACTGCATGAGCCACAGTCCTAAACCCCGCCCATTTCCCCTCGACATCTGGAGGAGTGGGGGACGATGCCAACCCCAGCCGCAAGCAATAATTAAATTCTCGCTTGCAATTTTCATCAGCTAGCTGAGACCAGGCCACCTTGGGTTTGAATGGGGTCCTGGGAGTACACCCACCAACAGAGTGGAAGAATGGCAGGCACATCTTACAGATGACAAATCGATGGTCAGTGGGCAGATCAGCTCCAAGGTAGGTCCTGGTGTCAAGGACATGGGCCCACATCTGCTGTTCCGTCACTACGTAGTCCAGCAGATGTTCTTGCCTGGACCTGGCATGCATCCATGATGTTGTGTGAATGCGCCGATGCCGGAACAGCGTGTTAGTAATTACAAGCCCATTGGCTGCACAAAAATCTAGCAGCCTCCTACCATTGTTATTCAGCTGATCTGGCCCATGCCCTCCAATCACTCCAGACCAGGTGCCAGCATCATGACCAACTCAGGCATTGAAGTCACCCAACAGGATGACTCTATGCCGTGGGGCCACTTTAGCTAGCACCTGTGACAGGAGGTCATAGAAGGCATCTGACTCATCGGCCTTGCCTTCATCCCTCCATGGATGTTCGTCTTCGGTGGGGGCATAAGCAACCATGACCACCACTCTTCGCCTCTGGTTGATGGGAAGGCGAGCCCAAAGTAGTCTGGGCCTTACCGCTTCCCACACCTCACCGCCATGCTCCCACGCCCCCTGAATTATTTTGTTCAGAAGAAGAGACACTCCCTGTTGTTTGGCAGTCTCCTGCTCCGAGTAGACGACTGTCCACCCCTCATGGTGGCAGGAGCCAGAGCCGGTCCACCGGACCTCCTGAATACCACAAAGATCCAGGCAGTACCGGTCCAGCTCCCGAAAGAGTAGTGGCAGTGAGCGTTCGAACATTCCACGTGGCCACCCTCAGTGGTTTTTATAATTTCTGGAGGAGCCCCGAGGGTAAAGATTCAATCTCCTGGCTTCGCCAAATGGGGTTTGACCAGGAGACGTCATAGACGTCTGTTCCCCCGAGACCTCCGGCACAAGCTTATTAATTAGATATTTTAGACGTGGTTTTGTGGTAATTAATTCAAGGTGGTGGGGTTACCAGCCCCTCGCACCCATCCAGAGCCCCCATTTGGCCACTGTGGTGGTTAAAACGCCACCACTGCCACTCACCATCATCGTCATTACCAACAATATCACCTCGTATGTTGAACTTCTTTCGCACCGTAAGTAGCCAACCGTGCTAATCGGAGGTGCGGAAGGACAACAAACTAAACACAACAAAAAGCAGCGGTGATATCATTACCGCCCTCACCCCTGACCCCACGACTCTCACCGCAACCTCTCGACCTTGTGCCCCCTCACCCTACCACCCTCACCATGCTTCTCACGCCACTAGCGCGCCGCTCACCCCGTGGCCTCCACCCGTGCATGACGCCCCTCTCTCCCACCAAAGCCCTCATCCCACGTCCCTCAAACTCATCCTGCTTACCGCCGCCTAACCCGTGCTCATCACGCCGACGGCGTGTTGCTCAGCATCCCCCACCCGCTGCGCCGCTCAACCCCCGCGCAGCTCGCCCCTCACTAACCCACCCCCCCACCCCTCACCCCCTGCACCGCTCGCCCCTCACTACCGCTCGCCCCTCACTACCCACCCCCCAATCGACCCCCCTGCACCGCTCGCCCCTCACCCCCCCCCCCCCGCTCGCCCCTCACCCGTGCTGCAGCACGATGACATTGCGGTCGGGGTCACAGTAGAGCTTCTCCAGCGGGTCCTGGGCGTGCTCGGGGAGGCTCTCCCACTCATCCCCTCCGGCCTTCGCCATGCCGACCGTGCCACCGCCGGTGTCGCCGCCGCGGTCTCCACCGAGCAGCCCCGGCCAGGGCCCGGGTCTTGCCACGGGCCTCCGCTTGCGCAGCTGCCAGTGGAAGGGCAGCGTGGTGTGGTGGCGAGGGCACGTGGCCCACAGGTCGCAGTCGCCCGCCAGGAAGGGACCGCAGATCTCCACGCCATCCGCGTGGTGCGTGTGCCGCTGTACCGTCTGCGGGAGACACGCCGGAGACTCAATTAGGAACACGCGCTGTGCCAATTGTCGCCCACCTCCTCCCGACTGAGAATTCTTAACAATAACCCTCCTGAAAAAGAGCATCTTCAGACTCAGTTAGGGCTTCGTTGAGTAAACAAGCACGATAATAATCATAATTCAGGCTGTGCTTGTTTTAGTAATGGATCGCTACACTCGTTCTTTGGATCTGCGGTTTCCAACTTCCTCATCGGAGGATGGAGTCTGAGAAATACAGAAGTTTCCTCATCTCATGCATGCAAATGCCAAGTCTTGGTGGCGTAAAGCAAAACGTGAGACAGAGAGAAATGTCTGGGACATTCCCAACTTTCGAAACTGAGGCTTTTTCAACGGTTTTACTTAACTTGATTCCTGTTTGTCGTGGTCAAATCTTGTAATCAAAATTTCGTCCACTTCCCGTTGTCCAATCAATTCCACATTTTGCACACGGACCCAGATCCGGTGACAATGCATGCCTGTATCAAAATCAACTAATTCGCTACTTTAAAGCAATTTACATTTTGTATGGACGCCTTATTATTTATATATATTTGTGTAGGTCAAAAACGCCGCGGTCTCTAAACTGTGGAATCGGCTCGCCCAAGAAGCAGGCGCCACGTGTCTCAGGCGCCATTGACTTACTTTGACCGTGAGTTAAACAAAGTTGTTACTGAAACCGTTGTTTTTTAAAGGAGTTTTTTGATTGGGCGTCAGCCCCAAAACATCTCCACAATATCGGAAAGCAGCACAGACCGCACGGCTTTCCGATTGGTGGATGAAGTCCGGGCACTGCGCGAATTACAGTCGTGTGCCACGTCTGGGCGAGAAAAGTAATCGCTTCCCAAAATCGCGTCAGTGAACGAGTAAGAGAAACTCAAAAGAAACGCGTTCGCAAAACCACCGAACGATGGAGAGACGACGGCATTTTCTTGAGCGTGGCGTCCACAAGTGTTTTTGGCAGGAGAAACGAAGAGAAAAAAAAAGCCAAAATGCCTTCAAGGGTCTCTCGCTGTGCTGACAAGTTTGAAACCAAATAAACCGAAACGGCACTAGGAAGCCGTTCGCGAAGAACGCGTAGGGAAGGCCCCAAGTCGTCGGTTTTTCAACGCGGAAAAGAGGAGAGTGTTGTGTCGGCAGGAACATTTTAAATTGGATGGGACAGACTGTTTCTGACCGATGCTCAAAGGGCATCTTTCGAGGTGCGCTACAGGATTTCTCAGGCTAAGGAGCATGCATACGACCGTGGGAAGTTGGGTTTCTAACCCGCTGCGATCAACACGGCGAAAATAATGTGTGCGGGAAGTGGACGCAATTTAACTGAAATCTACACCACCGTCAAACGCCCTGAAGCAGAAAACTGAGGCTACAGCGGGTGATCAGGAACAGACACGAGTTAAAGCACCCGAAAGGCACTGCTGATTATGCTCTTCAAATTCATGTGGCTTTTGCGTGTGGCTTTTGCGTGCTATGCTTGTGAGGATGCTGCTTATATTTGAGGGCATTCTCTTCTGTCGAACACCTCCAGAGCACGAAACCGCTCAACCGAATGTTTCGTGCGTGCTGGGTGGCTACGCCGAGGGCAAAACGATTCCTTGGGATGGCAGGTTTGGCTTCTGTACACAGATGATGCTCCACATCTGTGGCACAATACAAGGAACACACATCTCCGTGAATAGCGTTGCTCCACGTGTTCTTTGGACGCAGAGCATGTTGCATTAGGAACTGGCAGGTAAAGAACATAGCGCAGAACTTGGTAAGATAATGCAGTCCACGTCATTTGTGAACCACATTAGACTCGATTACTGCACTAATAATGGGGAGGTCGGCTGCAGATAATTCCAAATTGTGGATAATCCAAAAATAGAACAATTTTCCACGGGTCTCTATGCCAAAAACTACTAATATAGGTGGAAATTAAAACTCACAAAATAAATAATTGGATAAATCACACAAAATTAAGTGCAAGTGATGATTTCGATTGTTACTCTTTCAATTTAGAACGAATACTAACGATCGACCGCTCGATGCGCATGCTCAGTAATAACTTTCCTGCTCCCGTGCAGGACTCGGCACACTAAGTGGATAGCAGTGACGCCAATCAAAGTCAATCCAACTCCGCCCACTGTTGTAAAGACATGGCGACTACTGCACTGTAGAGGCGAACACTTGGATTTCTGATCAACTGGTGCAACATATTTGTTCGGTTTATGCACGTGACTTGTAATAAACATTTCCAAGAATAACAAGGTACAACTGTTTTCAGATTAAATTTCGATTCAAAGCTTTCGTGACTGCAGGGATTCATCTTCTTGCTTCTTTCAGTAAAGTCACGTAGAAGGGAAATAATAAAATAATAAAATATATATAAAACAATAAAATTATCACGACGTTTCGGCCACATTGGAGCACTGTCTTTCCGACAGTTCTGTTTCTTCACCTGATGAAGGCTACTTGTGTTGTGGCCGAAACGTCGTGAGAATTTTATTTTATTATGTTTTATTTGTATTATTTTATTATTTCCCTTCTACGTGACTTTACCGAAAGAACCAAGAAGATGTTTTTAGATTATTAACTTGGGCTTCAAGGAAAATCCACAAGTTAATTAATTTATGTCAAAATCTGTGTGTGCCGGTTAATCCGCAAATCGGATGAACCGCACACGGATAATCGAGAGTCTGCCGTACGTCTTTTTGCATGGGAGGTTCGATCATCACAATGGGATTTAGTTTCACACTGAGGCTCCCCGGCTGTCGAGAGGAAGGCCGTTGCGGAGAGATTTTCATGAACCGCGAAATGAGCCGATGGCATTTGCAATGGATGTAAAAAAAAATACGGAATTTGTTGATGTTGTCTCGTGATCAGCAGAGTCTCCTTGCTTACATTACCGACTTATTTGGGACAATAACTGAACTGAATGCAAGTGTGCAGGAAAACAACACGAACGTCAATCAAATAAGTTATTGAATCAGTATTGAATCGGTATTTGATCATTCGTAATTGGGGATAATTCGGCACGGCTGCACTTTCAGCATATTTCCTGTATATTAGTAATTCACCACGAGCCGAATTGCCGTACCGAATGGTCTCATTTTGGCATAAACGTGGAGCGCCGGCGCATGCCATGACCAAAACAACGACTCAGTCTAGTGGTGGCGCGCATGGTGAGCGTTAGCGCAGACTTGTTGCTTTGGACTTTACCTTGTTTATGAAAGCAAACCCTGTCAGTAGAATTGGCATACATCGGGGCGAGAGGTTTCACGCAACTCAAAGTGCCTCGCAGAATTTCACCTCAAAAGGCATTTCAATGCCCCCCCCCCACCCCGCTTACAAATTAACCGAGGGGATCACCAGCAGTAGCCGTTGCTCTGCAGCACAAAGGTAAAACGCAGCGCCGGCTGGCAAGGGGGCATCTACACCTACATCAAGAAGTCATAGAAAGGAATTGAGGTAAAATCCCTTAGTCTGTGAGAATTGATGTGGAAAACAAATTTGACAGGAGGCACTGGGGAGTACCACTGTACATCTTTCAAAATATCGGATAATTCCGCAAGGCCAAAGCCCCATATGTGTCGAATTAACAAGGGTTTACTCTATATATTTATTTATGGAAGGCGAATTTGCCTAAATTGAGCTATTGAGGTGTCATTGTCGCAGGCCAAAGCTGTTGATGATGCCAGCATCGTCCAACTATGCAACACATTCTACCCTACCCCCACCAGATCCCCCAGCAGACCAGCACACAAGACGCACAGCCGCGCACCAAGACCCAGAGATGTGCCCCGACCGTATCCACCACCATCCTGCTCTCTTTAGGTCTTCTCTCCCCCTCGGGTCACCCAATTCGTGGAGACTGCTCCAACGCCGGTCTCGGCAATCAGGCCTCTCACGTTCTGGCTGATCTTATCTACAGGACTAACCTGCCACGTTTCATTCCCAACCTCCAAAGCTGCTCATCTCATCCTTTCCTCCTACATCCTGCATGACCCAAGTCACTTTTATCTAGTGGTGGCGGATTTAACGACAAATGTACATTTACGCACTCTACCCCAAAAACCTCTATGTATATATGTAAAAGTAAAAAAATTGTTTGTGTGTGGGTTTGTGGCGGGGTTTATTTGTGTGTTCACGTGCTTGCGAACGATTTCGCTCTCCAACAGTGGGGTTTACGTAAAATAAAAATTAGCCAGGTACCACGCCATAAGCCCCGCCGTGAGCAAGAGCTATTCCTTTTTCACATCCGTCAACTTTTAATTAGTTTAATTAGCGATTTTGTGCGATTTATGTGTGCTTTCTTATTATTAAAAAAAAATGTATGACGCGTGCACGACCATACCAACTCACGCGCCTTTGGTGGGGAGGATGGCCCATGCCAAGTCGCACGCCTTCGGTGGGAGTGAGGGGGACATTTTCTTTCGAGTTAAAAATGCTATTAAAAAATACACTAAACGCTGACGTTAATTCTTCACTGTGCGATGTCCCCCCCACCCCGATGCGTACAGTTATTACTACTATACAGTCGTATAGGCCATAGATATTACTGGAGAACAGCCGGGGAGATCGTGGCTGGGGGGGGGGGGGGGGGGGGGGGGTCAGGGGTAGCAGCCCAGCCCCAGCCTGCCAAGGTGCCACCTCGGCCGGCTGGACAATCTAGGCGAGGCCGGAGGCTCTGCACGGGACTAGGCCTCACCACGCCACTCTGTCAGGTGAGTACTTTGTTGATAAATACCGCAATAGAGTTAACATTTACTACTGTAGTGATAGCAGGTACCAACACAGTCGGTATGCACTGCTGTAATCATAGCAGGTACCACCACAGTCAGTACGCACTGCTGTTAGAATTTTAAGAGTAGTTTTGAAAAAAAAATTTGACCCGGGCAACGCCGGGTACGTCCCGCTAGATTTGGATAAAATTGGTCACGAAAGCCTACGTGTTAAACCCGTTTTAACCTAATCATCTCCACCAATGACGGTTTCCGCGATATAATTTTTCACAACACGACATTCATTCTTACGACAGGCCACCACTCCGTCGCCTGCGGGCAAAACCTCCTTACCACCGGGTACTCATTTCAGGCCAAGTCGACCTAGGGGAGAGGCCCAAGACACAGCTACGCACACACCGACCTGCAGAAGCTTGGTCATCGCATCCAGGTCGTCCATTGTCACGGCCAGATCCTCGTCCGACGATCCCGCGGGGTCGCAGTCCATCTTCTCCACGCCGCTCCCAACGCCATCGCAGCCGTCGCCGCCTCCAAACTTCTCGCCGGCTCCCGAGCAGGGCAGCATGCATGCCGGCTGCAGCACGCATCGAGGCTGTGTTGCGCACGCAGGCGGCGGAGGCGCCGGCGCGCACGGCGGCAAAGGAGGAGTCGCCGGCGCGCACGGAGGAGGAAGCGGTGGTGCCGGCACCGAAGGCGGTTGGGCACAAGGAGGAGCGGGCGGTTGGGCGCATGGAGGAGGCGGCGGCAGCGGCGGCGGCGGCGGGCAGGAAGCGGGCGCAGGCGGCACGCGCGCGCCTCCCTGCGCTCTGCCGTGGCCTACCCCCGCCGGCGCCACCTGCGGCGCGGCCGCGTCGTGGAAGTTCGTCGCCGCCACCTGCTCGGACAGCATCTGTACGCACAGCAGGGCGCTCTGCCTGGCGAGCAGCAGCGGGGAGGACGAGCAGAGGAACGTGCGCTGGGACGGGTTTGGCCGCGGCTGCGCCGCCTGCGCCTGCGGCGTTCGCGGCTGGAGGTCGCCGACGAGCCAGCCGGAGCCGCGGACGGCCGCCTGCGGCTTGCGCAGCCGGTTCCAGCGGTTCAGCGCGACCCGGCGCAGCCACCGGCGCCGCTTGTGCCGGTCGAAGATGCGTCTGGCGGCACCGCCGGTGGGCAGGCAGTTCAGGCCGGCGACGGCGGCGGCTGCGGCGGCCGCGGCGGCGGCGTCGCCGAGTCGCCCGTCCATCTTCACGCGGCGGGGGGGTGCGGTGGCAGAGGCGGCGCTGCCAGCGCCGATGTCAGGCCCGCAGCGAAGGCGCGCAGCCTGCAGGGGCGCGCAGGGCGCCGCCCAACGGCATGGGTGCCCGTCCAGCGCGCCGGCAACTCTTCTGCCCAGCTGCGGCGGGAACACAAGCGCGCGTGCGTATGTCAACAACGGGACCCTACCTCGATATACACGGATATACACGTCCGGGTTGCACTGCAAAGAAGCACGTTTCTGACCTTAAACCCACATTTCTGACCTCAAAACACTTTTCAACACGACTAAGATACTTTCATTCGTACATGTGAAGAATCACGACGAGACCGACCGGCAAATACTGGACGCTGTAAAGGACTGAAAAATGGTTGGCGAACCGCCCCACGAGGTAATGCCGCAAGTGATGGAGGGGTCACTGGGAGAGTGATGGCGGGGGGCAATGTAGATGAACCCATGGGGGTAGTTTGAACTCGGGTGACTCGTAAACAAGTGGCGAGTATAAAACGCACGCACGGACAAACGACACGGGATACATTCACTAGAGGCATTTAAGTGCATTTTTAAAGGAAGGAAAAAAAGAACGTTCGTTGAAGACGAACGTAATAATGGATGATCGTCAGTAGAATTGGCGTACATCTGGGCGAGAGGTTTCACGCGACTCAAAGTGCCTCGCAGAATCTCACCTCAAAAGGCATTTCGATGCCCGCCCCCCTCCCCCCACCACTCCCGCTTACAAATTAGCCGAGGGGACCTCCAGCATCAGCCGTCGCTGTGCAGCACAAAGGCGAAACGCAGCGCCGGCTGGCAAGGGGACATTGTAGTCTGCCAGTAGGGGGCAGGGGGGGTGCGATATTGCTATTTTGTTTTCCCCAAGCGAAGATTTTGACAACGCCAGGCACACACACGTCACGGGCATCTCCAATGTCCGTCCAATTTGAAGCAGGTCGTGCTCATTCGTGGACGATACGCCCGCGTGGCATTTTTTTAACCGGGACGGCCGTTGGATTCGATGGGTGAACGTCAGCAAAGGGAGTGGTAGAACGCACTACCTCTGGGCCATGTCACCGCCAAAATAGCGGAAGCGGCAGAATTTTCTCCCAAATTAGCGGTAATCAAACCAAGATCCGTCTCGTTGGCTCCCCACCCACCAGCTATCCACACCAAGCTTGCATCCCCCGCAATCTGGTGATCTAAGTTCAGAATGCCCGCCCGACACACAAAGCCTGACATTTCGGAGTTTGTCTCGTTATCAGTCCGTGTCTTTCCATTCGCACGTCAATCGAAGTGGCGAGGGATTCTCGTTCTGTCATCTGAGAAATGTTGCCCGGCTGCCGCCACATTCTCTGTTCTGAAGATTCTGAGAGACTGGTTCGGGTATTCATCTCCTGACGTCTTGACTATTTCCACCAATGGCCTGCTCTCTGGAACCCCGTGTAAAGCTCCTTCGTAGAGCGCAGCCTGTCGGCAATGCGGCGGCCACCAGGGCGCTCGCTCACACTCCACTTGGGAACCATATCTCAACACCTGTGGGTCGTGCGACTGCATTAGCTTCCAGTTCAAACCGATGATGAGTTTGAGATTCGATAGTTTTAAACGATTTAAAAAAAAATGTTTACCACCACTAGGTAAGGCCTCTCTCTCTCTTATTTCCCATTCTTTAATCCTCTTCCCTTTCCCATTCCTTTTCTCTTTGTCAGCATCCTTGTGACTCTGCTCTCCTTCCCACGTCGCGTAGCCACAGGTTCAACGATTGCTGCCAGTTATTAAAAGGCAGGGTCCCCGAATAGAGTTTCCGCCCGCCACCCACCGCCCCCCCCCCCCTGCCAGCCAACTCGTGGCGAGGCGTGCGTCTGTTGCCCCATCACCCGGGGGCCATCGCCGCCACCGGAGAGTTTGTTGTTGTGTTCTCTCCGCGGGAGACGCCAGAGAAACCCGTTGCTCGCCAACCGTGTCGCTCGCTAAGCGACTGCCAAGAGCGAGCAGTCACCACAGCCGAGAGAACAGCCGCGTGGGGTAGGTGGTGCAACTCTTGGGGGGGTGGGGGACAGTTGCAGCCCGGCCGTTCTGAAGCCCCATTGGATCCGCGAGGGACAGCGACAAAGACAAAGACGCCCACATCCCCCAGGGTGTGAACCAGCAACTCAAGTTGATGAGAGATTAAAAAAAAACACCCCTCTATTATGGATACTGGTCGCGAAAGCCCACGTGTTAAACCTTCTGAGAGAGACGGAGAGAAGCACACAGACCCCCGGTCAGCCAGTTTAGTGGCTCTAGACATGGGCTAATTGTATCTGGGGACTCTCATGATGAACCTGACAAACATTATGAACACCCTGAGAGCGAGGCACTCAGACCCCAAGCTTGAAATCGGGGTCTCGGGGGTGCTATCTCAGTGGCTCCAAAATGCCCATTATGCACCTCCTGTGGCGACGAGAGACACCCACACACAAATAGGCCCCAGCATTTAAAGCAATAAGCCTCAGGTTATAACAAGGCTATTCTGAACCCCCACAACTGTGGAGACAGGCACCCAGACAGGACTTGAACCTTGGACCTGCACGATGCCAGGTCAGCGTCTGACGCGGCCATTGCAAGCCCACCTCCCTCTCGCGTTGTCAAACGACGCGGCTCGGACGTTCAGTTGCTTCGGAGACCGCGGACTCTATCTCGCTCTCCCTATACGAACACAAGCAGACACTCGCGTGCAACAGCCATCTCATAAAAAATACAGCGGCGGTGATGTCGCTGTGCCGCTTGTGTCAGGCTAGGTGCAGATTCAACGCTACCCGTTCATGCAGGTGGCACAAAAACAACAAAGGTAAAGATCGCTGGGGTGGCTTTATGGCCCCACAGAGGAAAGTGCCGTTAGCGAGCGCCCATGAAGAGAGGAAATGCACACGAGGGGAGGCGGTGCGTCAACAAATGGCCATCGTTTAGCCTTATCGCAGGGCGAATATGCCGCCCACGCATGCAAAGACAACGATTCCCCTTGTAGCTTTTACCAGACTGCGGCGGCAAGAGCTGTAAGCGAGTAAAATAACGTGCCACACACGGCACTGCACCTGTACCGTTTTCCAATTAGCGGCCCCACGCATCAGCGGTTTACCGATATCACATTACTGGCACACACCGGCAACACGGACACACGGGGCACACGACACGCCGACACCCACGGCACGCTGGCACCTTACGGCACACAGACACCCTGTAACAGTTTGTGTGCCGTGGACGCCCTTCAATATTTAAGGCCATTACAGGGGACAAAGATCCCCTGCAACAGCCTTAGACTGTTGGGACAAGTCCCGTTAGCGAGTAACTATGAAAGCCGCTGCAGTGCACGAGGAGGGGGGTTGCTCGGACAAAGCCACGTATGCCCGGTCACCCTTGTCTCCCCATCGGTGATGTTTACACGGCGCACCAGGTACTCACTTAAGGCAGAGGCGTAGGAAGGCCAAGGACCGGTTTGAATAACTCGCCACCGACGTTAGCCGTGGCGAGCGGGTCGCCGGGTTCATAGCACAGCGCATAAACCTACCGCGGCACCTCCGCCTCCCAAGGCATCGACCGCGCCGCCTCTTAAACACACAGCGAGCGCCATACCGACGACACGCCCGGCACACAGCGGTTCAACACGGCGACCACCGCGCGGGTGTCGTGACGTGCGCCGCTGTTGCCGGACGCGCCCGGACGCGCACGTTCCACTGCCAGGCTACCAGGGTCTGCCGTGAGTCACGAGCAACAGGGCAATAACTGTTACGCAGCGGCAAGGTCAGGAGAGTCACCCCCGCACCGCAGCCGAACGGCGTTCACGAGTAGAGGGGGCGGTGTCTCGCCTCTATCAAGCCCTCCGGAACGGTAGTGGAAAATCCACATTCCCACGGCCGAGTATATAACACGGTTTCTCGCGTGACAACAAAAAAAAACACCGCCGGTTGGCCACACTGTTTGGTGGCATTCGGCTAAGTCAACAGCAGAGCTGGGATTACGAGTTGGGAGCTGATTGCGAGTCAGGCTCTCGCGATACCACACTATGGCTTTACCAAAGCGACTCCAAGTGATTTACGCAAAGCGGGGGGCTGCCCGGGAGTCGTTTAGCAACGTCTTGGGAGAGGACACCGCCGATTAATCAACCGTCGCAATGGCACCGCGTGACAATTCTCCACCACCCCCCACGCCCCGTGATGAACCCTACACAGGCCGCTGGGGAAAGGAAGAAACAAGAGATACCTAAAGAGGCAGATAGACACAGTGCAAGGCAGAGAGAGAGACACAGGCACACACAAGTACCGAAGAAGGTATGACAGAAACATATGAGAGACACACGCACGCAGACTGATGTAAAGAGAGACACAAAAAGACAAAGGTCCGTTTTGTCGACTGCAACAGGCTGTAGCGGTAAGTGCTGTTACTGAGCACATATCAAGGGCGACCCAGTGCACTATGATTGGGTGGTGTGACCAGAACCACAACCGGCCGCCTCGGTCTCCCCAGTATTGCTGTTTTATACACAGCATCAGGTATTCATGTAAGGCTGATTCAACCTACGGGAGGCCCAGGACCATTTTAAATAATTGCTACCGATGTTGGCCGTGGCTGAGAATTAAACGAAGAAATGCCTTGACCGCTGTGGCACACATACACAAATACATACACAAAGAATGTTGTTTATTCATCATACACATGCCGAGAAACGCAAATACATAGACAACAACAGCTGCTATTCGACATGAAGTGGCAGTGACATCACTGTGGCACTTATACAAGGCTATTGAGCCCACGTGAAGTGTGGAATGTTCGCTGCTGGTAAGAGGTCACGGGACAGGCCGAGGTGCCATGGGTTGACTGAGATGCACCACCTGTGCTCCCCACTGTGCCACCTCGCTGCATTTTAGCCGCCCAGCGCTACGGTCATTGTCAGCATCCCTCCTCCGCTGTTATTAGAAGGCGACTGCCTACAACTGCCCAGTCAGTAGCTTCCTTTACAAGCCTCCTCCACAGAGGCCCATCTAGACACCGATGGTACTGTGCATCGGCATGTCCACTCAGCTTCCAATATTCCCGTACACATGCAGACGCAACTCACCCTACCTCCATCGATTATCCTGCAGGGTGCAGTGGCCCCGTTTAAATAGCTT